AATCAAATATTTTCTCGATTTATTTTAGGGACGTGAGAACAAAAGAGTAGATAGTGCATTAGGAGAAAAACAATCAATGAGAAGTGAGTCTTAGTACAAAAGCAAATGGGGAAAGAAACAAGTTGCCTGTATGTGGGGACAAATGAATATTCAAAAAATTTTAAACATTAATTTAAGATTCTTTTTCAAAAACTCATTCCATTGATTGTTAAAATCATTTTGAGTTCATCAAACTTTACCCCAGCTTTGGAGGATCTTTAGATGCCTTGATCTTCTATATATTTAAACTGTTCATCCAACTTTCAACTCAAAAATTTAGTCTACCCAAATTGCCCTTTTGGGTTTTCAATTTGAGTCTTTCTTTTTTCTGTTTTCATATTTTTTTATTTTTTCTTTTTATTTTTATTTTTTCATCCATTTTCCCTTTTTTTTCTTTTTTTTTTCATCTTTCATCATTTTTTTTCTTTTTTTCTCATCTTTCATCCATTGTTGATATCTCTCACACATTAATTTTTAGGGCAATAACATGAATCCATCATGAGCATGCTTTTGCCCAATATATGATTATTCAATTCAAGCGTTCACACTTAATCCAAATAGACTTTTCAAGGTTGTAATGTAGGCCATGGTATGGGATCATGAAAGAAATGGATAAAATAGGCTTAATATATATGTTTAAAGGGTTTAAAACTAAAAGATCATCATTTGATGTAGCTTGACATTTTGCCCCACTCTACATCATTTTATTACTTTTCCTTTTCATCTCATTCCCTACATAAAGGATTCTCATTACTTTGCCCTAACTGATTTGTTGCATTTTTCTTCCTCTCTTTTCTTCATTTTGTTTTGCTTTCTTTCTTTGAGACATTTTACGATCTTTTACCTTTTTTTTCTTTATAAAAAATGCCTCAAATGTGAAGGATGATCCTTGGTCAGGATTCTTTTAAAAAATAGGCTCAAAGGGGTAGCAATGAATGGTTTTTCAAATGGTAAAAGAAAGATGACCATTTTTCATCTCAATTGTGAATACTTTTTTCGAATATCATCTATTGAACAAAAACAAGCTTATGGATCTATATAAAAGATTGAACATCTTCAAGATATATCTATTTCATCTATGGTAATAGCTTACTTTTTTTTTTGCTCAAATCATCTCCTCATATTAACGTGAATGAGTTCTCAAAATTAAATCTCAGTATTGTTGTTATCATTGTCTGAATATTCATCATTTGGAATTCAAGGATGGGAACAAAAGTTATGAAAGGTGGCAAAACATGAAACAGTAGTTGAATGAAAAAAAAAATGTAATGAAATGCATTAAACTGCCTTTTATTGAAATGATAACAAATGAAATCCTACTACCTAAAAAAACTTAACATTACTAAAAAAAAAATCCTAAAATGACAAGAAACTTCTAATCAATCTTATCTTCATTCTCTAAAATTGTACCCCTATATGATCAGGTAAAGGTTCTTTATTGACATATTGTCCCTCGATTCATTGTAGCTCTTCAAGCTTTTTCTAATTAATGTGTTCTTGATTTTCACTCAAAGCACTGACATTGTGATTTGGCAGTGGATTGCCACTAATATTAGGTGTTGTTGCTTTTCTTTGATCAAAACTTACCATTCCATCCATGATTAACCATTGCACCTTATGCTTTAAAGTAGTTTAATTTTTAATAGAATGGCCAGTAATTCTATAATGGTAGTCACAGTGGGTTGTAGGATCATACCACTTAAGATAGGGTAGCTTGAGTGGCTTAACATGGCTGAGGGTAATCAAGTGGCTATTATAAAGCTTTCGGTATAACTTCATATAAGTCATAGAGATTGAACCAAATACGGGTTTTTCTCGAATAGTCTGTTGCTCTCGTGAACCACTTACGGGTTAGTAAGGTAAATTTGGGGTCTTGCAGAAGTTTGAATGTTAAGGCTATATGTCGGATCTTGAGGGCTAAAAATTGGCTGGTATATGGATAAATAAGGTGATTGTAGAGCTAGCTGGTATGGGTAGGATGATGCATTATTCACAGTAGGATAATATGGAGAGTAACCTTGGGATGGATAAGGTTGATAACTCCTAAATTGTTACCTTTCAAAACTCACAGCCTGAGTTTCAGTCTCTTTTTTTTGGGGCTCTTTTACTTGATGCCTTCCCTCTTTCTAGCTTGCCATGCTTGATGGCACTATTAATAATTTTTTCTGAAATCATCATGTCGACGAAATTCTTGGTTGCATTCTTTATGATCTTTTCATAATATGAAGATTTTAAAGTGCTGACGAACAACACTGTAGTTTCTTTTTCGGTTAGATGAGGTTGCACTTGAGAAGCTACATCCCTCCATCTCTGAGCATATTCTTTGAATGACTTGTTTGCCTTTTTTTTTTTTCAGGTTTTGTAAAGACAAACGATCAAGATCTAAATCCATAATATGACGATATTGATTGATGAAGTCATGGGTCATATCGCTCCAGGAATGGATAAGGGTTCTATCCAGCTGGATATACCATTTAGCAGCAGAGCCTGTAAGGCTATCTTGAAAAACATGTATTAATAATTTTTTATTATGAGTATGGGCTATCATCTTTCGATAGTACATGGTGATATGAGTCTTTGGGCACTTTGTACCATCATATTTCTCAAATTCTAGTACTTTAAATTTTGGTGGAATAACCATATCTGGGACTAACCACAGCCCAGCAGCATCAACAGAGCCATAAAACCCAATTCTTTCTATAGCTTGTAGCCTTTGTTCTAGCATACTGATTTTAGAGTCTTCCTAAGCCTCGATTTTTGTCTTTTCTTTTTTTTTTTCTTTCATGTCATCCAGATCAGGAACTTGAATTGGTTCAACTGCCTTTTCAGTAAAGACAGGATTCACGTAGCTATGGTAATCCCTAGATTAGAGGCTGATGGCATTCCAGGATATGTAGGATATGTGAAGTGTTGTGGTGGAACCTCTTGTGTAGACTGTTCATTTCCATTTTCATCAAATAAAAACTTGAGAGTCAATTTTATATTTGAAATTTGGATTGTGAGTGCTTTGACAATATGAATGCACTAGTCACTTTTAATGATACATAGTTCCTCTTGTATCAACCATTAAATGCTTCCTTTGCAGTAAACCTTATTCATTCTCAACAAATTACTTGTTTTAGTCGTTGGATTTTTCAATCAATATCATCATCATCGTCGTCATCATCATATTCCATTGCTTTTTTTTCCAATTTTAAACTTCCAACAAGGTGTAGATGTTTGGATAGACTTCATCTTCCATTATTTAGGCAACTTTAAAAATTTTAAAGTCATTGTCTAATCCTAATGCGTTTGAATAAATTTTTTTTTTTAAATTTCAAATGATAGCATTTTAAAATGCATCAATTAAAAATTAAAAAAAATATTAAAAAATGCAATATGAGCATCAATAGACAATATTGTAATCATGCCCTAAGTAGAAATTTGAGTAATAGAAAACTTTTATAAGATATATTTTTAATGAGTTTAAATTACATTAAAATTATTAAAATATATATTATGTTTAGTTGACTTATAAGGTTGGGCTTTATTTTTGGATATATTTCATGGGCTTTAAACCCTTTTATACATTTGTATATATATGTATTTTACAATCCTAGAAATAATGTTATTTTTTCACTTTTCAAGTCATCATGGTATCAAAGCTTTTGGTGACTACTATTTCTCTTTGTTTCAAGTAGTTTTAATTTGTTATTGTTGTGACTTTTCTTTTTTTTTTTTCCCCTTACTAAGTGGCTATTGCATTTGTATTTTTTTTTATTTTGTTATTTTGTGAAATTGGATGGAATTGGTTTTTGTGCCTTGACTACAGTTTGGGTTTTGTGAAATTGGAATTGCCTTTGTCTTTTCCTACTTTTATTCATTGGCTATCGGTTGACTAAATACTTTATTGGTTCTAGATTGCCCACCTGTGTAATTGACATGTATGTTTCACTTGTTACAAATTGGTCAATTTATTGGCTTGTTACAAGTTGATCAGTGTATTGGCTTTGAATTATTTTTCTCTCATGGCTCTCTCGAAATCATCATAGCCTATTACAATAAAATTAGATGGAACAAACTACACTAATTGGTCTTATTTGATGTTAAATTTTTTAAAAAGAAAAAGACTTTGAAAATATGTTGCAAGTGATAAAAAATATCCAAGAGCTCTTAACAGATTGAAAAAATTTATGTATGAATATGAACAATATGAGATTAATAATAGCAAAATTATTACTTGGATTGCTAGTACTGTTGCCCCTTCAATTAGTATGCAACTTGGGAAATTTGACACTATTAAAGAGGTTTGGGATTTTCTAGAAAAACGTTATGTTCAAACTGATTTTGCTCGGAGATATAAACTTAAGATGGATTTTGCTACTTTGAACCAGAGAAAAAGACAATTAATTTCTGATTTTCATTATAAAATGCTGATTATTTGAGATCAATTAGCTCTTATGGAACCTAAATGGACTTTTGATGCAGAATTATATTACCGATACAAAAAAGAAAGTCATCTTACACAATTCATAATGGCACTTTAAGATGATTTTAAGTTCATTCGTGCTTCTATTCTACATCATATCCCTTCTCCTTCTGTTGATTTTATGAACGGACGAAGCATATTAAAATAGATTGTCATTTTATCAAATAGGAGATACACAAAGGCACCATCATGCTACTACATATTTTTTCTTCTAATCACAAGTGGCAAATCTTTTTACAAAGTTTCTTTCAAGTTCACGATTTTGTTATTTAGTTTCCAAACTCCAGATGTTTCATTTTGAACTATCTTCAATTTGAGGGGCTGTTAAAATGTATATTATGTTTAGTTGACTTATAAGGTTGGGCTTTATTTTTTGATATATTTCGTGGGCTTTAAACCCAATTATATATTTGTGTATATATATATATATATATGTATTTTACAATCCTAGAAATAATTAATGTTGTTTTTTCACTCTTCAAGTCGTAAAAAATGATCATAAAAACTGAGTTTTTAGGCAAGTACTAAAACAATACAACATCATAATTTTTTTAAAAGAGCATAACTAATAACATAGACCTATGAGTTTTTGCAATGAAGCATTGGCATATTTCTAGTTTATATTACAATCAAACCCAAAAGAAAAGCAAATAAGTGCATATAGAGTGCGTTCATTGCAAAACTCATTAATGATCAATCATCCTTCAACTCTTTTGTAGCTAGTACTTCGAAGCCCCCTTCTGCTCTTTTCTCAATTGAATAAGGCATATAGGTTCCCATAATTCTATCCCACATCACGAAGAATGGGGTTGAGAAGTTGTATTTGCCACCACAAAGCTGATGGTGCGTATCATGAAATGCAGAGTTGTTCCAAAAGAAGATATGAAAGGGGTTTCCAGGGAGCAACATCCCGCTATGGTCATCCACTGCTTTGATAGTGGCTAAGCAGACAAAAAAGGTGGAAGTTCGAGGAGACATGCCAGCGAGGAAAGCAGCTAAGGCTGTACCAATGGCGTCGAGAAGGCGGTCAACATTATCATTGTAGAAAGCTCCATATGCATAGGGCACAACAATCCGATGATGGTAAGAATGGAAGTGCCGATAAAAATATTTGTTGTAGTGCATGTATCTATGTATAAAATATTGTAAAGTATCCATAACCAGCATAGCTACAACAAATTGCATAGCAATAACAATATAGGAAGATGCTTGTCCTTTGGAAGCCCCAACATCATGATTTCCTCCTGTCACCTGCAAGAAATAAGGTTTTAAATCGCAAAACAAAATCATAATTTTGCTGGAAAGAGAGTATTTCATTTACAATTCTCTTTGTTGTAATTTTGTAATTAGTCAATCTAAATAAAGAATTACATATAATTTTTTATGATCCGTACACAATGTTAAATTATAATTAATTAATTGTATTACAATAATTATAAGTGATAATGTTCCCTGCTGATGATAAGCATAATCTTTGTAAAAATGTTGTATATGTGTCCTATGGTTTTTCAATCAAATTATAATACAAATGAAATTACCATCACAATAAAAACTCTTTATATCTATAGATGATACAACATTGTCATTAAACTCAACTGAAAAACCTAATGAAAAAAGCAAATATGTAAACAAACGAGCATGCTGCTAAATAAAATTTGACATAAAATTATACCATTTATGCATGGAAAGATTTAAATTCCATATATCATAAAAAGCTTGAAGACTTTTTCTTTACTATTGAGATAAATTTCATGATCAATTGCTATAAATATTTGATCAAGAAATCCTCAAAGAAAGAAAATTCAAGAAAAAAAAAGAGTTGATTTATACAACGATATTAATATTTTTCTATTTTTTTTGGTTAAAAAAAAAACTAAAACATGAGAAATCAAATTATTCAAAAAATTAAGTTAAAAATTACATTAAAAAAGAATTCACTGCTCATACCTTAAACATGAGGAATAACGCTATAGACTGAAAGGTTTGCTGGAGAAGAACAGCTTTGATGACTGTCTTTTTGGGTACAAAATTCTTCTCCTCCTGTTCTTTCCTGGAATGCAACCTGTAATTCTCAAACCGCCACTCGAAGATCACATACATCCCTGAGTATATCCAGTAAACAACAACTGGCATGAAAATGGCCAGCAATTCATCTGATGTAGTCAAAGCCATGACAATTTTGAACCTAATTGCACTTCCTTCAAACTTGGGAAGAGAGGGAGACCTTTAAAGGCTTAAAATTAAGATGATCAACAATGAAAATGTGGTATATATATATTGTAAACATTTATTCTATATATGTAATACTCCACTCATAGTTGATAGTGGTTGAAGTTTTTAAAATGTAAAATGGGAAGTGAAGCAATAATAGTAATAATAATTTTTAGATTCACTCATTAACGAGCTATCATTATGTTGTTGATTGACAGTTTATAGTACTTATATATTGTTAGTGTAGTAACTATTATCTCATTATAAAAAACCAAATTAGATATTACCAAGAAAAAAAGCTTGTGGTGCAATGTACAAATTGCCCTCACCAATCCAAATTTCAAATATAATTGGTTGAATTCATTATTGGATTTTGAATCTCTTTAAAGAGTACTTGGTCTTATCCCTTCCTCTCAAATTTGATGATGTTATGTATATAAAATATTATCATTACTCTTTTTCCTTTTGATCGAATAATAGTGGTAGTTGAAAAATTGCAAAACTACACCCACCCCACTGTCATTGCTTCTTGTTACTCTCTCAATCAAGCCTCACTCCCTCAGTCAAGCCTTATTATATGCAAATTGATTGGCCATTCGGATTTGCAAATAATTGGGGGCTGGAACTTCAACTATAAAGGCCCAGTAGCAAAATTTAGGGTTTGGGTGGCAGGGGCAGGGGCACCTTGCCCCCGTGGTTTTTGAAAGTTTTCATGTAGTCATTAGTTTTCTCAAGTAAAAAAAAATGAAAACTCTGATTTTGGCCCCTAAAATTTTATTGATTAGGCCCTTCCTTTGCCAAAATTTAGGATTTATATGATAAAATTTATAATTATTTGCTATAATTTTAGTTTGATCTTAATTATTAACTTGATTTCCTTTGATTTTTTTAATGTACAAGTGTTATTCTACATCATTTTCAACTCCTTAATTTTCATGAACATGTGTTTTCAATCAACCACATCAAGTCCAATTAAACTAAATGCATTATAAAGAAAATTTAGTGGCTATTGTCATAACGATTTTATGTCCAGGAGAACTCGAACGCTAGACTTAGTGAAAATTTTCGGAATCGTTACCAATTTTTTTATAGGGTGTGATTGACCACAAAAAATATCATCTTTTAGTAAAAATCTTAAAATTAATTAAAACTTACTAAAAGAAGTTTATGTTTGTGAAATCAGGACTAGGTCTGGGAGTACGGTTACGAGTGAAGAAGGTATTAGTACTTTCATGTCGGCCATTCGAATAACGGTATCATTTAAACATACGTAATCCTATAATTTTTATAACGTGATCTTTTTTTTATTTAAGTTTAATTTTTTAAAATTTATTTTAAAACTTTTTTTCTGTTACAAAATTAGCATTATTATTATTATTATTATTATTATTATTATTTTGTATTCTATAAATTCTCCGACGCTTTGGTGAAATTTATAGAAAATCATTATTTAGAAAATATTTCAAAAAAAATTGATCATTCACAAAATTCTTGAAATTTCGTCATAAGATTTTAATTATTTGTTTTAAAAAATGATTTTAGGAACATCCCGAGTCTTTGGTGAGTTCCCAAAATTTATTAAACAAATTTTAAGATTATCTCGACTCTTTGGTAAAATCCTAAAAAATTTTGAACAAGTTTTAAGATTACCTCAATTTTGGCAAGATCCTAAATAAAATCATTTTTTTATAAGTTAAAAGAATTAATTAATTAATCTTTATTGTGATTATTTTTAAAAATTTTATTATTTATTCTTTAATTATATTTTTTTATAAAAAAAATTTAGATTATCTCGACTCACTGGTGAAATCTAAATATTAATATCTTGTTTAAAGAAAATCGAACTCTTTCAATTTTTTATATATTTTTTTAAAAATTCAAGATATCAATTATTATTAATTTCATTTTTTATTATTATTTTACATTGTTTAAATTAATCTTTATTTTAGTGAAAATAATTTTGGATTATCCCAACTCTATGGTGAAATCAAAAAAATTGTTTTTACTTACAATAATTAACGAAAACTAAACTTTTTTAGCTTTATCTAAAAATTACATTTAAAAAATTCATTTAAACAATTTATTTTTTTATTTATCAATTTTTATTTATTTTTTAGTAAGAATTATTTTTTTAAATTATCCCAACACTTTGGTGAAATTTAAATAATATTTTTACTTGTAATAAATTTTATTTCCTTTAAGTAGTTATTATTATTATATTTTTTATTTATATATTTTTTAGGTCTTTATTTTATTTCAGTTTCATTTTTTATTCTATTTATTTATTTATTTTTAAAAAATTATTACCAATAATAATAATAATAATAATAATAATAATAATAATAATAATAATAATAGTAATAATAATAACAACATAAAAAATAACATAAAAGTCAACATAAAAAATCAAAATAAAAATCAAAACAAAAAGTAAAAAGAAAAAGAAAAGAAAAAACCTACGAAACAGGTCGGTTTGATGCACGGGTCGGCACGTGGATCTTGCATGGGTCGGGTTCTGTTTAGACGCCCAAAACGACATTGTTTTAGGGCACCTATAAAAGGCCTATTTCAACTTTTTTTATTTTTATTTTTTTCTTTCTCCGCTTTCTCTAAAATCCTACCACCCTTCATCGACCATCGTAAAACTCAGTTTTCTGCCAGTCGTCATTGTGCACTGGCGGTCAAAAAATTCAACGGTCACCAAAAAATTCAAATGGTCATCGAAAAATTTAAACTTTTTTAGATTTTAGCGACCCAAAAAAATTCAAAAAAATTTTAAAAAATTCCCCAGTTATCCTTTTCGCTTTCTAAACGCCTTTCCAAGCCTAGATTTTTCAAAAAAAATCTATATGTGTTTGCTGTTGGTTTTTTCTTTTTTTGATTATGTGTGTTCCCTCATATTGTTCTTTTTTATGTCCTCGTTCCTTGTAGAGATTAGCTTTATTTATAGAGCTTTTGAGATTCAAGATTCCAAATCTTCTGAGATATTTTTGTGGAAAATTTGGGTGTCTATTCGGTGTCTTTTGATCATTGGATTTCATGCTGCCATGTTAGGTAGTGTCAAAAAGAAAAATAAACCTTATCGTAGCTTGATTTCAGCTGTCAGAGTTGAAATCAAAGATTTTTTTTATTTTTTTTATTTTTTTTAAAAGATTAATAATAACAACAACAACAACAACAACAACAACAACAACAACAACAACAACAACAACAACAATAATAATAATAATAATAATAATAATAATAATAATAATAATATATAAAAAGAAACAAAATTGGTGCCTACAGCTGCCCCTTTTTGCTTATTTATGAGAATAAAAAATAAAGTAAAGACAAAAAAGACACCAATTTTGTTTGAGAAAATACATACAAAAGATGAAACATTGAACATAAAGTTTTTTTTTTTTTGAAAGAAAATTTGAAAGGCTCCTCTAAACAGAAGCTATAAAACTTTAAATTCAAAAGGCTCCTTTCACCAGAGGCAGTGAACTTTAAATTCAAAACCTCCTTTAACCAAAGGCAATGAACTTTAAATTTAAAAGGCTCCTCTCACCAGAGGCAACAAATTTTAAATCTAAAAAGCTATTTTAACCAAAGGTAACATACTTTAAATTCCAAAAGCTCCTTTAACCAAAGGCAACAAATTTTAAATTAAAAAGGCTCATCTGATCAGAGGTAACGAACTTTAAATGGCTCATTTAACCAAAGGTAACAAATTTTAAATTAAAAATATGAGAGAACTTATAGATTATGCCATTTGGTCTTATAAATCATGCCTAATTTTGATAGAATCCTCTGACCAGAGGCTCTTAAAATTAAAAAACTCTTCTAATAAGAGGCAACGAACTTTAAATTAAAAAATCTGAGAGACAATGGTATTTGAAAGATTCTTTAAATAGAGGGTTCACATTTTTTCTACTTTTGACTTTTTTTTTATTGGTCTTGGATTGTCTTAGACCCTTACATCTGTCGTGTCATATGCGTGCGTGAATAACATTTTCATATTTTTACAATGCCATGCAATGAATGATGATCATGATGCAAATGCACTTATTATGCAAATGAAGAGACCGTATTTTTTTCTTCTTTTTTTTGTCATTTTCTTTTAATCCTCAAAATTTCTCAAGGTTTGTTTCCTTTTTTCTTCTCTTGAATCCCATGCATTCCAATAGTTGATTAAGTTCTGATGAAAAAGATTTCTCTTCATATCCCATATTTCATGTCAACCACTTTATGACTTATAGGTTACTTTTCCCATTAACCTTTGTTCCTTACTGTTTTGCTTATCATTTTAAATCTTCTTCAAAATAATATGTGTCTTTTATGATCATTGTTATTCCTTCATCATCTTTTGAATTTCAAACAATTATAACACATTGCACATTTCTCTTTTTAATGAGAGGGACAAAAAGAAAGATAAACAAAGTGATATTTTATTTCGGTAAAAGGGAGAAGTGTTTCATGCATTATCAAAAAGGATATAACAAGGATAATAAGTAATCATATAACAAATATTCAGATCATCATGAACTAATTCATCATGGATTCTTTTCTGAAAACTCTTGATTAGTGCCTTTGACTTTTTGAAAATGTAGCAAACCAAACTAGTCCAAAACCATTGATATCTTCTGGCACATATTGAGAATTGAACCACTCCATTCATTATCTTTTTTTTTTTATCTAAGCTACCCTTTCAGGTTTTCAACTCAGATATCTTTTTAATTCATTTTGTTTTCTTTTGTTTTTTTTAAGCATAATATTTTTTTACTGTATCGACATTGACTGGATTTGGCAGATCATCTCTATCCATTCTTGTCAAGATTAGTGGTTCACTAGAAAAAGCTTTTTTCACCATATATGAGCTTTCTCAATTAGGAGTCCACTTTTCTCAAGGGTCCTGTTGGTTAGGAAGAATCTTCTTCAATACTAATTCTCCCTCTCAAAATTATCATGGGTGAACTTTCTTGTCATGAGCTCTCATCATTTTTCTTTGATATAGTTGGCCATGATAAAATGCAGCTAATCTCTTTTCTTCAATGAGATTCAATTGTTCATATCGAACGCGAACCCACTCAGCTTCTTTTAACTCAACTTCCATGAGAATGTGTAAGAAAGAAATTTCAATTTTAATGGGCAACATTGCCTTCATCCTATATACCAATGAAAATAGTGTAGCTTCTGTAGATGTAC